TTGAAGGTTGATTAATGGATGAAAGAATGGATTCATTACCACTTGTGATTTGTTGATTAAAGTTGAGAGCTGAAGATTCTGGAGAATTTGGTATATTAGATTTTAGCATATGTGTTGTTGTTTTAATTTTTTCAATATTTGCAGTTGCTTGGTTTTTTCAATATTATCTTTGGCAAGTGATGTAACTGGTTTCGCAATATAATTTTTGGTTAATGGTGGAACAGGTTTTTCATTGGAAGCAGTTGCAGTTAAAGTCTTACTAGGCTCGATTTGCGAGGCAACAGCAGCGTAGGTATTACTTTTGCCAATTCCATGGGCTACAGATGGATTTCTTTCCCGGTATGTGCGTCGCGCTTCGCCCATGCTACAGTAATTTTCTGTTTTGATTTTTAATATTTCGCGCATCTGTACAAAACGTGGGCATTGTTTGTCTAACGCTGAGTGTTGATCATTGCAATTTATGCAGAAACTACGGGTACAGCTTTCAGTATGTGGAGGATGACCACAGTTAGCACAAGATGCAGCATTAGTGCATCTTTTTGCCGTATGACCCAGGCGTTGGCAATTTTTACACCTCATAGGATTTGGGATGTATAGTTCTACTTTACATTTATACCACGCCACATCAACTGTTCGCGGTAATCGGTAGCGATCAAAAGTTAAAATAATCCTTCCTGTAGGAGAGCGTGTTTTTCCGTCATCATTTAGTTTGGTGAGTTTATATATTTCAGTCACTCCTTGATTGCCCATTTCGCGAACAATTTCATCTTCCGGCACATGCTTTAAGCAAGGGGCATAAATTACGCCTCGAACTGAGTTAAGTTTCTCATGTAGTTTAGCTGAAACAGCACATAGATTAGCTAAAGATTTGGCGTTTATGAGCTTTTCGGTTGCGCGCGGGTTCCCAGCGAGGACCAGTAAATTCCCATCGCGTAGAATCGAGATCGAGTCGATGTATGTTGTAATGCTATCTAGAGCTTTTTTTATACCAAAAGGGCTAATTTGGGAAATTGTTATTCGAGCATCGGTTGAAGAAATAACAATATATTTTTTATCAATAGGGATTATATCGCTGATCGGCAACACCGGAAAATCTGATTTTTTACTTTTTTTCTTTGGGGGGATGTATCACTTAATAGATGAAATCTATTCGAGTTTTTGTCTGGCGGCCCCGGGGCCATTATGCCTTATTGTTGTCTATTGCTTATTATTTTTGAAATAACCACTCACTTCAAAAGGTTTGGGAAACTACTGAATAAAAAGTCAGATGTTTTTAATTCTTTTTTTTTATTTTTTTTTATTTTTTTTTTTTTAATGTATTTAAAGGAAAACACGTACGATATCCGCGATGAACACTTTTCGCAATAAACACACAGAAAGTTCAATCGATTATAATAAGTTTGAGAACTTTTAAAAATGTATAACGCAATAAAGAAATTAAATTGCAAAAATTTTTCCACAAAGAGAAAAATGTGACCACAGCGCTTGAACAGAGTTGCCGAATGGAATTCAAAGTAAAAGAAGTATTCTTTCTTTACGCTTTGATTCATTAGATTTTTGCAAACAAAAATTTTGAGCTCTGATATAAATTTTTTTTGTTTTATTTTTTTCTCTCTTTTTCTCTGCTTATTTTTTTGGTGTTTTGTAGTTTGTTTTGCTTTTGATCTCTTGTTACAGTTTCAACGTAACAGAGAAGTTTTGCTCAAATTAGTTGATAAATTTTTGTGTTGAGGATTTTTTGCAATTTCTTCCGTCAGTTCTTCATAATCTACTTCTGCCTTTTTTTCTGAAGTGTTTATATACACCTTGTCGGGCGAAAACGGTCCCGGAATCTGAAAGATTCGTTTCGTGTTGGCTTTGCGATCGCTTTAGCCGTGCAAAGTGTGCCGGTATTATCAGCCGTGCTGCTGATGCAGTCGTTGACCCCTCGAAGGCATTACGATAGTTGTATCCTGACTGTAGAAGGACATAGACTTCTACAAATTATTCACGGAGACGAGAAATAGTTTCTCTGAATTGATCAGATCACTAAGACTAGGTTTGAAGAGTGTCGTTTTATTGAGCACTTTGCTTCTTTCCAAGCTAGCAAACTCACAACTCGTAGAGTAGCGCGTGTTGCGTCACCTCTAAATTAGTCTAAAAGAAAAATTTCCACATATCCCTCTCATGTTTCTTTTGATGGGTCTGATTCCTCCGATGATTTTGAAATCTCAAATCTTTTCAACTGCTAATTTCGATTTATCAGCAAACTACCCATATACTATGACAAGCTCGGTTTCTATTCCTAACTTGGTTATTTCGGAAGATGACGTTTTTAAAGGGTTGAGTTCTCTAAAATATAGTTGTGCGCCTGAACCTGATGGAATACCATCATGTGTACTTAAATCTTACGCTGGCGAGTTATGTGGTGTGATCTCAAAGATTTTTAACCTGTCCTTGAATTTAGGTGTTTTCCCTTCGTGTTGAAAGAGTACTTTCCTTATCCCCATTCACAAAAGTGGAAGTAGACAACTTGTTGAGAACTACCGGCGCATAGCCATGTTGAGTATCTTGCCTAAGTTGTTTGAACGAATTGTGGCTCAGCATTTGGCATTTGCCATTAATTCATATAATCTCCACACCAGCACGGCTTTCGGAGACGGCGATCTACGGTTCACAGATTTAGGCATTCTATTTGACCATAGATTACATTTTAACTTGCACATTGAGCTCTCGATAAGCGAAGCTAGGTCCTTGCTTGGTTTTATAAAATGGTGGTCCAAAGAGCTTGATGATCCTTATATTACCAGAAGGCTGTATATGTGTTTGGTTAGACCTATACTTGAGTATGCCTCTGTTGGGTGGTCTCCTTCATATAGGCGCTATGTTGATTCAATTGGATCTGTTCGAAAGCAATTCTTGCCGTTTGCCCTTAGGAATTTGGGTTGGGATCCAATTGCCTCTCTTCTCCCTATGAAAATAGGTTGCTTCTGTTGTTCTTACCGTCTCTCGAGAAACGTAGATTTGTTCTTGGCGTTCCCTTCGTAATCAAAGTAATAAATGGTGCTATTGACTCACCTGCGTTACTTGGTGAAATAAGGTTTAAGGTCCCCAACCGCTTCCCTAGGCACTGTACCTTGGTTAAGCTTAGTCAATGTAAATATAATTATGAGCTGTTTAACCCGCTCAGAGTTGTTTGCAAGAAGTTTTTAAAGTCCAATAAAGCAACATTGCTTAATACGCGCGATTTACCTATGTCTTACTTAAATTAGCTTTTATCTTTAAAAAGTCGTTACGATTCGAAAATGAATTGTTGTTAACTATTATTGGTTGCCAAGGTTATGCATGTTTGCGATGGCTTAGGAGTTCGTTTGTAATTTGGTCCTGTACCGGTTGTGGGTGTGGCTCTATGCTGGTTGTGTACGTTCTTTTTTCTTTTTTTCTTCTTATTTGTTTTATTGTAATTATACTAAGTTTTAATATTAATTAATATAAGTTTTGCTTTAAGTGCCAATTGAACTCGACTGTTATTTGTTTAGTTGAGTTTCATGTATAAGTAGAATTAAAATAAATAAATAAATGTCTAAAATAAATAAATAAATAAATTGCATATAATACAAAAAAAAATATGAAGGGCACATTATTTTTATTGTTTCCAATGGGTAATGTTCGAGATATATCATTTTTGTTATTCTTCATCATGCGAATTTCCATTTCTTTTCCACAAGAACCTGCGTGTAAGAACAATAGTTGATATATATGCGCATCTATTACATAAAAAATATCCCTGACCATAAATTCTCCCGACCATGAAAAATTCCCAATCTCCATTTTATATCACATAGAATTCGTTAGCCCACACCGAGTTACAAGCGATTAAATTTTATATATGATTGAGAGGAACATGTCCTGAAGCATCTATCACGGCACAAGTAGGTGGTCGACCAGAAGATTTTGAACCATCTGTGTAAAAAAAATTCCAACCGTTACTCTCCAGTACTTGGGATTTTTCCCCTATTAGATTCCTGAAGACGTAATTTGGAGTATCTTCTTTCTTGTGCATAGATAGCGAAATGTCAAAAGAATAGCGGAAAATTTTTAACAGAATGTTTAATTTCTTTGGGACGTACAAACAATAGTCAATTCCAGATGGTGACTTTTGAATTTTCTTCGCAATAATAATCTTTCTCACATTTTCACCGAGAATAGATTTGTTTCAATTAAAAAACTTGAGAGCTTTTTTAGCTGTAAATTCATAAAGTCTATTTTCTAAAGCTGGGAGACCAGTTTCAATTATAATGTTGTTTATGGGCGTCCTCCGAAAAGCATAGCAGCTTACTCGGAGGGTTTGGTGATAGATCGGTTTAAGGATGTTGATGTTAGATTTGTAGTTATTGCCATAAATTCTCAAAGCATAGTCAATGTTGCTTAAAACAAGCACTTCGGTAAGATAAACAATCGTGTTAATGTGCGCATGCCTTTTCTAAGCAACGCATTGTATGGAGTTCACCCTTGTTAAAATGGACTTTTTTAACCGAAGACAGTGTTTGTTGGAAATATGAGCCCAAGAATATGCAGCAGAACGGTATTAATATGCATCAGTAGATTTCCTGTATCGCAAATCTGCTTTCAACAAATGTGCGTCTTTTCTTATTTTTGTATAGAAATTTTAGCGCCTGAAGAGTTTGCCCATGTGAAGATCTCTCGTCCAATAGATTCGAGAATGTTGATTGTCTTCTTGGTATCTATTTCTTTCCTTGAAATGTACACATCGTCCGAGATAATGTGCGATTTTCAGTATACGGCAATGAATTTTAGTAATTTCATTGAAAGCCATCTGAAAAAGCGTGACAAGGAGAACATCCATGTGGAATGCCATTCATTAGCGGAAAGAAATCAGAGAGATGGTTGTTAATTCTAACTTTAAACCGCCAATGCGACATGAATGATTTGATGTAATTGAAGAATTTGGGTCCAACATTCCATGATTTCAGGAGTCCTAAAATAGCATGAGGAACAACCCTGTCAAATGATTTTCGAGATCAATTGAGAGAATTGTTACATGATTCCGTTTGGAAATTGCTTTGCTTGTAAAATAACCAATATGTAGAAGAGCGTCAAGGCACCCCCGCTTGAAGTCTTTTTTGTTATTGCCTTATTTCAAGGAAAACATTTCTCAAAAAAATGTCTCACAATATAGTAAATAACTGAAATGTGAAAATTTTCGATACTTTAACCTAAATAACCCAAGAAGACAATTGAAAAAATTAGTAAAAATAACAGCCAATCGAAGAAATTCGAAAAAGTTCGTGCAAGCGCATTCGCTTTTTATTGATATGTTTATTTAATTCATTTGTAAATGTGTGCATGACGTGAAAAATACTTTTTAAAAATATATTAATGATACTTAGTTTAGATGGTCATCTATCTACATGTTTATGCCCATGTGAGGATACAAAAAAAAAAGAAAACATACGAAATATATTAGATATATCCTATGAAAAATGTCTATAAAATATTTATATATAAGTTACACACATTTTCAAATACCTTCTACAAATGTATTAGATATAAATAAAACTTAGATTATAGAAAATTTATAGATTATAAATATAGATTTGTCGCCCATAAATCAATTCTGGAAAATTCAATCTACGAAGATATACTTAAAAGAAGTGATTTTGAGTACAAGAATGTTCAAAACAATTCCCACTTTCTCATATTGATTGTACATACAAGAGATTGTCTTTACTGTCGAATTACTGTTCTTACAAATTAATTTTATTTTGTACTTCATTTTGAAAAATTTGTTTTAACTAATTGAATCCTTTTCGATTTTGCAAAGATCCTAATTTTATTTACAAAATTTAAAAAAGTTGAAAGACATTTTTGTAACGTGCAGCTCAATGCTATTCAAAGATTAATAAAATATTTACCGTGCGGAAGGAAAACATTTCAAAAAGCTTTAACATAATATTTTTTTTATAATAAAAAAAATATTGAAAGTAAATAATAATAATTATGATAAAGTAATTAACTACAACTCTTTTGAAAATAATTGAATTAATATTTCGTAGAAAAAATAAAGGATCACTGCTTCCAAACAATAAATCAACGAATGTTAAAAGTCAAAACAAGAATAACTTAGTCAGTGCACTAAACGTAGAGTTAAATATAGACTTCGAAATTCCAAAATTGAGACACACTTCTTGCAATTTGCTTCTTTAAAAATAAACTTTGCTCTTGTAAAAAATTCGCATACACTTGCAAACCAATTCAATTCGATAAATTGTAAGTTAAACATAAAAATTAAATCAAAAATTCTTAAACTTTAAAGATATCATTTTAAATTGCATACAAATTCCGATTATCATATTTTTTAATTTTGTTTTTTATTTAACCTAGATACTAGTCATGACGCGGTGTTAAAGAGAAATATGAATTTATTTGATGAGTATCCACAGAACTTAAGTGTATTGAAAGGGAATTACCAGCGGCCAAGATGCGCACGCGTTTAATTGGAGCTACTTTCTTCGGGGTCTGGACTAAACGCTTGCGTTCCTTTAGGTATTCTGAAACGAAATAAGCGAAGAAGTAAAATATTGCTATTTAAAACAAAAGAATTGGATAAAAGATGAATATGCCTTCGGAATATATTTTTCTGGCTTTGATTAAACTCACGTTATTCTTTAGTGTCAACACACAATTAACATGACATCAATATCACTTGAAACAAAAAACCAAACAAATGGAAATAATTTAATCATCATTCTCCCAAATTATAATTTCGAAAATTACGCGCGAAAGCAGTTTAAATATCTAGCATGTCGAACTAATTTATTCCTTAACCCTTATTTTATTTTAGAAAGTAAACTTGCAAGAAGTGTATCTAGTCTGTAATAAAAGAGTACGTATTCTTCTGCTTTAGAGTTAGTGCAAAGCGTTTAATGCTTCCAATTTAGAGAAGAAATGTGTGTTGGATGGTTTTAGTTTATCAGGAATGATGATAAGGGTTTTTTTAATGATAAATATCACAACTAGAGCTTAAATAGTGCAATTTGCAAGCAATCATTAAAAAGTTTTAAAATGTTGAGCTGTTTCTTAAGTTATTTCTAACAAATCATTGAAATTAATTGAAAGCATTTGTAGCAAAATTTTATTGGGGCTTTGGACTTTAAAAATATGATTAAATGAAAGCAGTAAAATATCACACACATCCATAGAATCTGGAATTTTTTTATATATGTTTTTAATGTTTTCGGACAATGCACACAATGGCACCAAGAATGCTTTTAGAGTTATAGAATTTCAAGCCTAGAGTTATACAAACGCTTATAAACCCTTATCGTCACTCAAGTTTCCCATTTTTGTGCCTGCCTGCAATGCGATTGGTATCATTTCAATCCCGCAGCTTGAGTGGGTTTTGCAGTTTGATGTATATTGACGAAATTACATGCGAAAACATAAATCGTTTTCGTCTTTGCTACCATTTTTTATATCTCTTATTCAAAATTAGACCAAGAGTAAAAGGAGCAAAGTTTCTCACGCCCATTTCAATTTACATAACTCTGAACTTTCTCGATCGACAATAGATGGGAGAATTTTGTTATTCTTTGATCATATATGCAATATATGCAATTTTTAATATTTTATTTAACTTATAGGTGGTTGTTCAACACATTTTAAGCCGCTCCAATATTTAATTTGCATTTTATGCAATGTTCTTCAATTTTCAAGTGTAATTGGCAAGAAATGCTCGCTGATACAAAATTCTGACGTTGTAATATTTTCTTGCTTTCAAGCAAGTAAGAGACACTAAAAGAGTTCTTTGATGAGAAAACGAAAAAGAAATCGTAAGACACACGACACGGCACATCGAAAAAGAAAAATAGTGCCCTCGAAAATTGAACCTTTCCTATTGAAACGTTATACGTGAAAGAACAATTGCATTGATATGCCTATCAGGTTGAGCGTCTTGTCAATCTTTGCAAAATATGTAGTACAATAATGTTAAACTTATATACTACACATAGGAATTAAACTTTTGCATCTATTTTAAAATTTCGAAATTTACCTGTAATTTTTGGCTGTCTTTTGCGAAACCGCATTTTGCGCGGCACAGCCGCCTCACTTGTTGTCCGGCTAATTGGATTGGCAGGAATCTTGAATAGGGCTAAAGTGGATGAATTCCCAAAGTGGGACTCATCACAAAAATCGGTATCAGTTGCTAAGCCATTTATGGTATCATTTTCACGCTCAGCTCTATCGTCCATCAGTAAATCTAAAGGTGTCGGCTGATCAGGTGACGGATGTACGTGCGCATTTCGCGTCAAAGTATACACTTCTGGTGCAACAATGCTTTCTTGATGGGTAATGCGTTCCCATATAAACTGGGCATTAGTAGTCGTCAATGGCACACCTGAACGAAAGTCGAAACCCCATTTTCTCGTTGCTTCTTCATGGTGTTTAGCCAACTGCTCCTTAAACATGCTGCAGGACATTAAAGAAAAGAATGAGTGTTGCAAAACCCACTGCAGAACAATAACAATAAACAATTATAATCACCTGTTGGTTTCGCTTGCATTGATTGGGCCGAATAAATCTTTTTTAATGCGACGCATTTGGTGGCTGCATGGCAAATTCCTTTGCAAAATTGTTGGACTGGAGCGCACTTTACATATTTCACTAAAGACTGGGTTCAAAATACGAGCTGCGGACATTATGGCAGAAAAATGTTTATTTTCATATTAATTGTCTACAATCAATTTTGTCTATTTTGCTTTTAGTGTTTCTTTTGTTTTCAGCACAGCAGAAATGTCAAATTTTTGGCGCAAAACTTTGACAGATATCTCGAATTATTAATGAAGCAATAACAGGAGTAACCAAAATCTTTTTCTTTTGTAATATTCACTATTCTCCACCTCGAGTACAGTTTGTCCAAAGTTTTTTTCACTTGATCAAGAAATGGGAATAAGTTTTTTCTTTTTTGTTGACTTCACAAAGAATCATAATAATATGCGGCATAAAGTGAAACTTCTGTATAAATTTAATAAAAATATGTTAATGATTTCCTTATGGTTTTACTTCTCTCTTTCCGAATCGCTTTAATTGCACTATATATTTTGCTTTCCTCAAAACATTTATCCTTTTAATTTCCACAAAACATTGCCAGCCTTCGAATCTCTGAATGTTATTAAAAAGTGTTAAGATATTAAATTCATTCTATTATTTTTTTGGCTTTATTTTACATGAAATTTTCAAAAGTTCCATAAATAAATACATTCACTCTCACGGCGAAACATGTTTATTGGTTGCGTTCACTCTCTAAACTGAGTTATGCATAATTCTTCCCTTTTAACTCTTACTAAAGAAATTGAATTCTTACAAATAAATGAGGAGAAAACACGAAATCATTGTCTAAAATGTTTTGTGTGAGAGAATAAAATTTGGAAGAATTAATTATAATAGATTGTTTACTCACCACTTAAGGTGTACACATACGGATAGCTTTTGTTAATATACGTTAATGAAAAATTAATAAAGTGAAAAGTATCTTTAAAAAATTACTTTTTTGAAAAAAAAATATAATTAATAAAACGAAATAAGCTTATTTCATATAGAAACAGCAGTATACTTTAGTTAGATTTTCTTTCTTTTTTAATAAAAATGCAAATGACCACTTTAAAACCATACTGTGCTTGCAATATGAACCGTATGATTATGATGATTTTGATAAAATGTCAAAAACAACGCACAAAGAAATTTTCCAAAAATTTGCGTTCACGCACAACGCAAAGCAAGCTGGGTTTTAATTCACACAATCAAATGACAGTTCGTGAGAACAACGTGTAACGCAAACATTGTGTTCGCTTAAAAGATTTTTCGGAAAGTTTTTTGTAAATTTTAAATTACGAGGATGGTGCGAAAATAGTGAAGAATAAATTGTATTCAAAATTTCTAAAAAATGAATAGAAGGTGAACAATAAATTTTGTCATAGCCACTTTTTTGTGATTATAGGTAGGAGATGGGGTGCTTAAGATGAAGAAAAATTTAAAGAAAAGTAAGTGTTAAATTAAAAACGAAGTTTGATGTATGTTTTAGGTGGTTGCAAAAGTTTGTATTGTTTTGACACTTGAAAAAGGCATTTATTGTGGAAAATTGGTGCATTGTATATTAGTCAAAATAGTTTCTGTCATTTTCTACAACATTTTGCAATACACCCTCCCGTCAATTTTTGCATTTCTTCAAATTTACGAAGAAGCGTGCCAGCCAAACCATGCTGCATGTCTGGTGATTACGCTGGTTGTGGCAGAAATTCTCATTCGAACTGTAACAGCGTATCCTGGACAACTTCCAAGAAGTGACCAAAAAACGCCATTTTCAGTCAATTCGTGTCGCCAATTTTAAACGGTTGAAAGCAAAACCGATTTTATCGTTGAAGATCTTATTATGCTTTTTCTATTTTCGTTATAAAACACTAAATGTTAAAATGAGAATTCACCTGGTGGAGTTCGAAAAATAGATACCTGTGACCCAAATTCGGTAAAGTTAAAATTTGTATTAAATTATTTTTGTGAATCAATTTTCATTACGTTTTGCTTTAAAAAGGCTTACTTATCACAAAGGCGATTATATGGCAGGCGATACAACACTGATTCAAACTTTCCACTTCAATTTAGTGAAGTCAAAAAGCCCAAAAGAATCGATAAACGTTTGACATGAAACTCTTTTTCTTTTTCCTCGCCGCCGAGGATTTAAAAATTTTTCTTTAGACAAAGAGAAAAAAAAAATAAATAAAATAAAAATAAAAAAAATGAAATAATAAAAAAAACAAACTAAATGAACGAAAAGGTCTGGTCAGTTTCCGGCTGTGCGTCTGTCGCCAGTGGGTCAGTCGGTCATCGTCTAGCGTCGGCCCTACATGGCCACCATGTGCACGCCCCTACACCTCAGCCACAGCGGTGGCAGCGCACGCTTAGCCACACATGGGTAACAACAAAATCGGATAGCTTAAAAGAAAAGGTAACATAACTTACAGTACAAGCAAGGTGGTGGTGTTCGTTTACTTGGTGAATATTACTGCTTTCACGGTCGGCTGCAGCTATCCCAATGCTCCCGATAAGTTGTTGCTGTTGTTGTTGCTTCTGCCTTCAATTTTATTACTTCCCTCTGATTCGTTGCTGGTGGTGTAACAAGGTGATGGTGACTGCTTCACTGGCTGCCGAATAAATTTATGCATAGTAGTTTACGAAGTCACTTCTCTGCATCCATGCACATAAAAGCGGCGATAAATCTTCAGAACTTTGTTGTAATGATTTATATAAATTCGTTGTGCAATTGCACATGTTCATCTCATTAAGCTTATTTTTCATGCTTCGACCATTCACGGCACCAATCATCTTCGAGTCCTTTGATTTTTAGTTCAGTTTTCTTTAAAAATTGAAATGTTCTTGTGGCAAAAATTCATAAACCAATTAAAAGCCTTCTTTTTTGTTTCTCGCATTTATTCATTTATTTATTTATTTATTTTTTTTTTCAAATATCTTATTCTTCGCGAACATTAGTATTTCCTACGTTAATATGCTTTGTATTTATAATATTAATATCGACAACAATAAGTATATTTAATTTTTATCAATCATATATTCAACTGTTCATTGTGGGTTAATGGGTTTTTCCATTTCGATTTCGTTGTTTTTTCTTTTGATTTTATTCCCAAGTTGGTCTGTTTTAACTCAAACCACACAACGAAATGTTTGAAAGTACTTCTATTTTTATTAACTATAAATTTTTTTGTTAACAATAATAAATAGATTTTAATTAATCAATCATATGTGTAAATGTTCATTGTGTGTTAATGGTTTTCCTTTTTTTTCTTCTCAGTATCACATGGGTTTACGTGTCTTATTTGCACAGGCTCTCGCGATAAGCATCTCTAACTAACTTTATATGCGACAGCTGTACCCGTTCTATATGGAAAAAAAAAAA